GCATTCAAACAGTTTATCTCATATAAGCACTTAGCCACATGGTAAGCATACTATCATGGCCACATTCACACGCATGCAATATGCTAAAGCGAAAATACTTACATCGTACTCCGTGCCAAAACAATAAACTAGTTAGCAAACATGTATGTCCTAGTTCATGTTAAAATGACTAATGCGACGCATACAGGATGCAATTAGATAGGCTCGGCTAACCTAAACATGGTATGTGAAATGCTACAACTATCACGTATTCAATTTGAAATTGGAGTACAGATGTAGTTAGCGTGATGCGCCGAGCCCGGTGCATGCAAGGCAAATGTATGAATGCACGCATGCATTGCATAAGGTACGCTAAATTTAAACGTGCCCTAATACTAACCATCAAAGCAAGTAAATAAAAGGGAAGAAAGACGTGGGGTTGGAAGACATACACCCACTCACGCACACTTATTACACAATTGCCCTCACTCAGAGGGTACAAATAAATATTACAATCCGGATTAACAAATACATTAATTATTACAGAATTTCTAATTAATTAATAGAAAGAATGCAAAAAAGGAGAAAGGTGGCCACAGACTTCGCCTCGGGATGTGCGAATGATGCATGCTCGAACCCGTCTCGTCCGGAAAGCCCGCACCATACCATTGCTGCCTCTGTTTTTACTGCCTTGCTTCTCTGAAAAATGCCAAAGTTCTGGGACAGGTTCCTTGCACACTGCAGAATACCACCGGCTGGAGGAAGTACCCACCGGCAGTGTATAACTTCCCTCGGCTGCTGATTGAGTCATCGGCCATTCACCAATGGCCGGTCGGCACTGAATTATGCCGGTCAGCATAAACTTCCTGCAGGAGACAGTTTTGACAGCAACAGAGGACAGACAGCATATGGCATGGGATTTCAGGTACATGTAAGCATGGTCATGTCCCCCATCATGTGTTAAACTCAGGGAAGCATGGCCCTCGATCCTCGAGCCATCAATTGTGCATGATAGCCCAAGAGATCAAGCTTGCCATTTGATGTAAGAATGCATGCAACACACAAATGAGGACCAAGGCCTCATCATGTCGAAGTCAGAGGCCCCGGTGACCGAGAGTTAAGGCACGTTGCATCACTTACGGTATGAACGCTCCTTAACCCTCACACTTGGTTTGACACCCCAAACCAAGTAATGCAATGCATGTTATGCTCACATGGCTCAAAATGCAACATGATACTAATTATGCAAGGCATGCCAAATGCCATGCAACTACTATGGCAAATATGCAATGCTAGGCATGCAAGATGCAAATGCAATGCAAACATGGACAATTTAAGCAATAAAATCATCATGTTACAACACCTAATGAAGCAATCATGCAACAAACATGAAACAAGCATGCAATGGTGGCTTAAAATGGTAAAGGGGCAGACCTTAATTCACCTCAAAACAGTACCTAAAAGTGCCCAAAATGAAGGACAAACTCTCATGCCAACATGCAAGCCAATGGACCTAGGGCTAAGACACAAAAAGGGGCATTTTACTTCTACCAATATGACCAATCATGGCATGAATTAGACAAGTAAAAACAGAACTTTAGCATGCAAAAATGGACTCCAAAACCCACTAATATGGCACCTCAAGTGGCTCCAATGAGATGCATGCACCAAAACTCATTTCTAGGCATAAAAGGGGCACACCCTCAAAGCATGAAAGAGGTCACACGTGCAGGCATACAAACATGATTTATGGACTGAAATATGATCCTAAATGATGCCAAATCATGGGAAAGGTCTAAGCTATGCATGCTAGAGGCCAATACACTCAAGGCTTACAAGCCAAAACACAAAGAGATGACACTAAACAAGGCAAGCATGACTGAAATAGATGGCCAACAGACCTTAAACATGGTAAAATAATGCCAACACCTTCATGGAACTAAGCCAACACATGCAATAATCATGGCCTAAACACAAGATGCATTTCTAGGCCAAAGAGGGGGATGTAAAGAAAGTATGTTAAGCATGCAAAGGGGCACAAATCTGACCAAAAACAGAGATTACATATGACCTAAAAACACCCAAAAACCTCTGAAAAAAAGTCCAAAACCAATCAAGCATACATGTTACCCTTTAAGCCAAAATGCAAGGAAACAAGACAATGAAGGGAGAGGGGTGTCCCTCCCCTATGCAAGGCTTCAAACCACCTTCCTTACCACTGAAAATCCACTAGTTTTCAGTGGTGAAAAGACCAAAACACTTAAGCAAACAAGGCCTTACCAAGGAGGCAACAAAAAGGCCAAATAAGGCCGAAGAGGGTGAGTTTGAACTCAAACCACAAAAGACCCTTAATGAAAGTTCTTAAGCATGAAAATATAAGCCTTTTTTATGTTATACACAAGAACTAAATCAGCAAGCAAGATAGGTAAAAGACTAGTGCAAGTTTGGGGAAACTAAAGCAAAGTGCTCACCCTTGAAGCACACCTCAAGAACAGCCAAGGTAGCCCTCTTCTTTTGATCAAAAACAGCCGCAAAACTCAAGAATCAACCCTCCAAGTCCCTCAATCTTGGAGCAAGTTGTAATAGTGTGTGTATTAGTGCAAAAGTAAGGTAAAATCACATTTTTAGGCCAAGAAACACACACAAGGGAGGAGAGAGAGGGTGTCTCTATATGTATAAGCTCTGGTTTTGCCTTCAAACTTTCTAACCAAGAATAAGGAGAAGAGCTCTCCTCTTATAGAGGTCCCTCTTGCAAAGCTTATACAACAAGCTTGCTTAGAGGGAAATCCCTCCATACACGTGTATGGAGGGAAGCAGAGTTGGTGCCAGCTATCACTGCTGGCACAAAATATCTACATAAAGTAGATGAACAGTGGTCGGCTCTTCAAAATTGCCATTTTGACAAAAAAAAGTGCCGACCGGCAAAAAAAGGTGCCGACCGGCAGAAAAGATTGCCGACTGAAACAAAACTCCAGCCGGTGGCCTGAGGCTATGGCCGGTGGTGTGTGGGGATGCCTCACAAGGCATTCCCTGCCCCTCCAAGGCAAAAGACAAGTGTTTGGTGCAAAACCAGACACTAAACGGTCGAGTTCAGAGATCCTGAGGCAAGGCGCGTAGTCGGGACCTCCGGGGACTCCAAACGAACACAAACAAAGGTAATCACCAAGTGTTCCAATGGTGACGTCCAAGTCTTGAGGACGGTCAAAAATGGGGTGTCTACAAAGCCCCCATTTCGTCGTTCGATTCGCGTATATCTTCGCGTTTCGAACATTTTCATCCGAATATTTTTTCATTTCAGTGCTTCCTTTGCCATTTCCACCTCTTGGGGTTTATTCCCCTCGAGTTTCTCTCGACTTGCGTGCCTTTTTCACTTCTCGACTTCTCGGGCCACTTTTCACCCTCTCGGGTTGACTTTCCGTTTGACTTTCCACATTTTCGCCCGATTTTCCCTTTTTCGGCTACTTTCTCACCATTTTTGACATGGCCGACGATATTCCACAGGGCGGGACTCCCCCGGATCATGAGATGGATCCCGGGGTTGAGCTCCTCCCGCTGAGCGTCCGCCCGTTCGATCCGGCGACCTACCGGCCGGCGATTCATGTGCTACCTCCTGACGGACTTCGCCAGTTTCGGAGTTTCGACAGAGCGATGCCACCAGAGCTCCTCCTGCGTGAGCCTACATCACATTTATCCTTCGGCGCTTCTGAGATAACATTCCTTTCTCTATTTTATTTTCCGCAATGTAGAATATAAAAACTGCCATAGCGGATTACATTCTTTAACTGCTTGACTCAGATACACTGACACACTGTGCACTGTAGTTGATCACAACCATACTGGCAACTGATATCTGTTTGAGGCTGACATGTGCACACACACTGCGTTGGCCCTGAATCACTCAAACACACCAACACAGTGTACACTTCACACACTGTAGTTTATTGCAATTACACCAATACCCGATATCTGTTTGAATCTGAAAAGCTTGCACACGTGCTATATTTGTACTGAACCACGCCAACACGCTGACACATCACACGTTGTAGTTCACTATAAGCACACCGGCACCCGATGTCTATTTGATTTTGAAAACATGCACACATGCTGTATACCTGTATGCTTCTTAAAACTGCGTTTTGAATATTGCCCCGCAATTATTTGTTTGAAAACAGGGAGATTCCCATACCGTCCGCGGGTATGGGAACATTGCCGCTCGGGATTAGTATGCTGAGCTTCCCGACGCGGTTCGCCACATTGTGGACCAGGCGGGCTTCAGCGCTTTCTGTAGGGGATTATCCAGACTCACCGCGAGCAGGCCTCTCCTCGCTGCTCTAACGGAGAGGTGGTGGGACACCACCGACTCGTTCCATCTGTCTGCGACGGGAGACATGACGATGACTCCCTATGATTTCTCGATGCTCACAGGCATCGGGGTAGGGGGTGATCCAATCCCCTTCAACACTGATATGGATGAGTGGACCGCCGCTCAGATCCATTTGCTTGGCGAGGTGCCACCCCTCGCCCGTCCAGGCTTTGTTCATTACTCCTAGTTCGAGGTGCAGTTCAGGGTCCACCCCGCGTTGGTGAAGGAGTGCAGATGACCCAGGAGGCCGTGGAGAGATATGCGCGCGGCTTTCTCATGTTCCTGCTGGGGACGACCATTTTCACCGACCGGGCGAACACCGTGCCCTTCTGCCTGCTTAGTGCACTGGTGGATGTCAGGCAGATCTTACACTATGATTGGGGTGGCGCCGCTCTGGCCACACTCTACAGGTACATGAGCTCGGCTTCCCGTGGCAGCGGACAGTTGCTCGGGGGCTACTGGCGTGCTTAGGAGGTACGTTTCTTTCCCGCTTTTCATTTCTGCTTTTCTATCTTCTGTACTCTGTACTGTATTCTGTATTGCACACACTGTAGTCTGCTTTTCACTAACTGTATACTGCACACACGGCACACACATACACTCTGCTTTACACTGACTGTACACTGCTCACACTGTACACTGTACACAATACACTGACCTCTCATCAAAAGCGCCTTCTTTGGAGTCGATTTCGCTGCGCTAGAACTACCCATCTGACCCCCATTGTCGAATTTCACATACACACCTTTACCATGAATTCCATGGCTAAAATTCTTCACAACCTGAACACCCGAATCATTCACCAAGAAACTATTATCCAATGCTCCCAAAGCCAAGCTCTGTATCCCTCCTCCGGTCGCTGCCTCCTCAAATTCCTCAAGCAAATCCTGACTGGCCCTCACCGACGTTTTTTCCGGGCTCTTCCACACTCCATCATCGGCATCTTCCCACATCGAATCGTCCGCCGATTCCGGCTTCACCCACCCCATGAATTCCTTACCATAAATCTTAACCTTGTTCTCATCAATTGCCTTCAATCCATACACATTCTCAAACAAACAATCCTGAAATTCAGTCACGAAACTCCGATACTCTTCATCCCCAAAAAACTTCAACGCCCAAACTCCATTCCACACGAAATCGACCCGTCGCTGATCACCAAACATCTTCAATTGCATATCGGTCGAAACCCTAGCTCGAATCTTCAAACCCACTTTCAAAACCCAACAATTCTCACCTCCACGGCCAGACCCATCTTCTTCTTCATCATCATCATAATCATCGTTTTTCTTGACAAATTGATAGGAAGTGAGTTTATCGGAGACGACCCATTTGGCTTTGGGAGTGTTGCCACCGACATGGAGGTAGAGCTTGACGGAGTACTTGGAATTAGGGTTTTGAGAAGAAGGGTATTTGAGCTTGAGGGCTTTGAGCTTGGAGTCCAGATCGTCTAGGGTTTTGGATCCGAAAGAGGTCTGGGGCTTGGATTGGTGTCGATCGTCGTCGTGGTCTTGAGCGTCGTCGTTTTGGTCTTCGCTGTGCTCTTCTTCTTCGTCGTCGTCTTCGTAGTCTGAGAGATCTAAGCCTTCGCGACTCTGTGATCCTCCCATTTTTTTTTGTATGATTCAAATTTCCACACAGACAGAGAGAGAGAGAGAGAGAGAGAGAGAGAGATTTGGGAATAAAATTCGAAGAAAATTGAAGATTTGAATGAAAGTGAAATTGTGAGGTTTGAAGTGAAAGTGTTAAATTCAGGGGATTGGAGCAACCGCGTTTAACGGCGGTAACCACTTCGCGTTGCGTTGATCTAACGCTGCGTTTCTTCGTATCGAAGTTGCTTAACCCCCATAATTTTATTTATTTATTTTTTAAAGTTATATAAATTAACTATTTTAGTTAATTATTTTATTTTTTAATTATTTTGACGTGGTTGTATTTTGAAAATATAACTAAAAGTTAATTTTTTAAATTTTTTTTGTAAAAATAATGTGATTTAAAATAGATTAAACTTTTGTCTTTTTCATCTTCCACATAGCTTCTAATTAAGTTATATTTGAAAAGTTGATTGACTTTTTTCTTTTTTCTTTTTTTTTTTTTTTGTTGATTTGATGGTTATAAAAGAAAAAATAAAATGATTATGGATTGGATGTAATATTTTATTTTATTGACTATTTTAACTTATTTTACCTTCGTTTAGAATGTTGGTTGACTTTTTTATTTTTTAGCTTTTGAACTATTTTAGCCTGAAAGTTAAAATGAAATGATTATGATTTAGATATAACATTTTGTCTTATATGACTATTTTAGTCCAAATAAATATGCCAAACATAGCTTCTTTTTTTTTTTTCCCCTTAAATAGATTATTTTAACCAAAAATCTATTTCCAAACCACCCCTTTGTGTTCTTTTGAGAACCTGGTAAAAAGTCAGCTTTCGTCTTTTTATCCTCACCTCTTACATAACTTACTCATAAAAAAACAAAATAAGTTAAAAAAAAACAAAAAAATAACTTTTTACTAACTTCTCAAAACACCTCTTTATTTATGTTGGGTTAGATTAGGGGTGAATTAAGATTATTTTTTTAAAAAAAAAAAAAAAAACTTAATGTTTGACCTACGTAATAAATAAAATTTTAAAGGTTAATTACCAAAAAAAAAAATCTTAAGGTTTCATATGTTTTTCAATTTAAATTACAAAATTTTAATTTTGACAAATTAAATCCTTGAGTTTCATCTGTGTTTCAATCTGATCCATCCGTTCATCTCCGTCATATTAAACTAACAGAAATTTGGGCAGATTTTCAGATTCAAACCCACATGTTCAAATATTTGTGTGTCCTTCGTTGTAACTCCATTTTCTTCTTATTTTTGCATCGTTAGATTCACCTTATGACCTAATTTTCATCCCACTCATCATACACCTTGTTCCACATGTTTTACTTGCCATCGGAGTTCCAAAAGTTTGTCAAAAATAAGATTTTTCTCTATTTGGCCAAAATTTTCATATTTAAACTCACATGTTCATTGTAATAACCCCGACCTCTGATTAACGTTAATTCGCACTTAATTACGTCTAACAATAGATTAGGAGGAATTTGGAATTAATTTGCATGTGTGTTGTTTGATTTTTGTGTTCATATCTGTTAGGCATAGAAAGATCTGTTCATGTTTTAGTGTTGAATTGCGAATTGAAAGCCTTATCGGCGTTCGAATCAGAAATTAACTTGATTTATGTGCTAGTCAGGATTTATAGAATTTTATGGTAGGTTTAATTAAAAATTTGGTTCAGGGCGATTAAATTAGATTAAATAATGCTAGGTTAAACATAAATTAAGTGAATGCAAGTTAATTACATCATTGCCTTTGAGTGAGCCACTTTCTCATACATGTTTAGGATTACTGCATACACCATTCTCAGCCTTTTCCTTTGCCAAAACCGTATGAGAGAGGGAGTTAGGGAGGAAATTGAATTCACCTAGAGATTAGCTTGGAGAGTTAGAGAAATTGGAAGATGATTACATGTTTAAGCTCCCACACTTGGAATTCAAGACCTAAGGTAGAGATTTCATCCCCTTGAACTTGAATTTGAATTGTTTCTTTCTTGGTTCATAGTTAATTAGTGTCTAAAGCTAGGAATTGGATTAAAATATTGAATTGAGGATTAATTCGCGCATGCATGCATGTTTCAAGCATTTTGAAGGATGAGTTTCAAGAATTTCCTCATGCATATGTTAATTTCACTTACATTATGGTCATTCAACTTGTTTTCCATCAAATTATCAAGTTTGATTATGTTTTGGAGGGTTTAAATTCAAAGAGGTTCTTGTATGTTGAATTGATGGCATATTCGTAAAGTTCATGTTGATTTTTGCACAAATTGGGTTGCTCTTGGGCCATGATTTCTTGAAATGATCCTTCAAACATGTTGTTTTATGAGTTATTAAGTGTTTTCAAAAGTTTTGGCCCAGAAAATAGAGTTTTGGTTGGTTGGAGGTCGAATTTCATGCTTGGAGGTCAATCTGGATTTTCCAGAAATTTGGCCCACGCTCGAGCCGGGACTTTCACGCTCGAGCGTGAAGCCTGAGTATATGCACTTCCGCTCGAACGGCAAGAGTCACGCTCGAGCGTGAAATGCATATACCCAGAAGTTTGTGTGTTTTGCAGTCCGCTCGAGCGGGGGAAGCCACGCTCGAACGAGGGTCTGTGTCACACGCTCGAGCGGGGGTAGAGCGCCCGTCGAGCGTGAATTTCATACATCCAGCACTTTTTCATAAGTTTATAATCCGCTCGAGCGGGGAAGTCCACGCTCGAGCGGAGCTTCATTGTCTGCATATCCACTTGAGCGGGGAAAGCCACGCTCGAGCGTGGACCTTATCTTCAGCAAAATTTGAGAAATGGTTTTCAATGCATTTTTGCATCCTCATTCCATCCTAGGCATTCCTAAGCCATGTTTAAGACCCTCATAATGAGGATAAAAGATTAGAAACACACTAAGAGCCAACGAAATAAGTTTTGTACAATTAGAACGTGTGTTTCAAGTGTGCATCTGTTATGTGTTGTGTAGGTCACGTGCCACGTACCGTTTGACCAAATTTACTCCGTCTGTCTGTCTCAAGGCTCACTGTGAGTAATAACTCTGTAAAGTTATGTTTAACTTAAGTATTTTCTGACTGGTATGGTATGATCTGTTTTCTGATATGCTATCTTACGAATTATGAATGAATGTCCAGTTTTTTGAAAAGTATTTGTGGCACCCTTAGTTCACGTGGCCCTCGCCCGGGGGTAACAATACCGCGGCCAATCTACACGTGGCCCTTGCCTGGGGGTAACAATACCATGGTTACTTGCGCGCAAGATATGGACCTTTATGGTCGTTGGTACCAACTATGCATATGGGTCTCTGGACCAAATTGATCTGATAGCTAATGGGTGCACTACGTATGACCTTATGCAAAATCTGAATATGAACATGAGTGTGCATCTAAATCTATTTCTGTTTTGAAGTCTGAATATGTTCTGATTTAAATACTGGATCCTAACTTGTGCTAGACATTATTCATAAAACCCCTTTACTCTGTTATTATTCACTGGGCTTTTGCTCACAGTTTATATTATGTATGTAGGTGAGTTGGCGGGTGACCAGGGCCAGAGTTGGCGGCCTTCTGTTCTGTTTTTGTCAGCCAACTGTTGTGTCTCCCGAGGAGGTTCCGAACAAAGTCTAATGCCATAGCTGTTTTTGTATTCATGCTAGTCTCTGTATGTGTTTTGTAAAGACAAGTCTTGGGATGTAAATACTTTGTAAATATTGGTGTCTTTTGACTGGCATGCTTATGTATATATATAAGTTTTGAAATCTTATATCCCATATACGTTATCACAGCTCATTAGACCTTGTCTATTTTGTATAATTGCTTCCGCAGCCCCTTACTATTTGCTAATCTGTTCAAAGGTCTTTGGTAATCCACGGATTACTGGCTGGTTACGGTGCTAAACCTACAGGAGCGGGTTTGGGTCGTGACACTCATACACTTGTATCTCCATCGTCGTAACTTCATTTCACCTCATTTTTTGCGTCGTTAGATTCACTTTATGACCTAGTTTTCATTCCACTTTTCATATGCCATGTTCCATATCTTTTTACTTGTCGTTGAAGCTCCGAAAGTTGGTTAAAACTAAGATCGATCTCTCTCTCTCTCTCTCTTCTTGTTGTTGTCACAACAATGTTCTTGGTAGTGGAGATGCAATAGATGATGCTTGATTGGAAACCAAGGCGCCCTAACATGGTGACCAACCCATTTGGTTTTTTATTTTTATGTGTAGTTGTATACCTATCACTACTCGACGACACTGCCACCATTACCACCACCACCTCATCTTGCAGATAATGATAATGAAGTAGCAGTAACAGTAGCAGCAAGCCTCGAGAAGTGAAGGGGGGAAAAAAAGAGAGAAAAAAAAAAGAGCTTATTTTTGGCCAACTTTTGGAGATTTGATGGCATGCAAAAAGATGTGAAATAAGGCATATGAGGGGTGAAATTAAAATTAGGCTATGAGTTGAATCTAACGACGCAAAGATGAGGTGAAATTGAGGGAAACACAAGTGTTTGAGTATGTGGGTTTGAATCTGAAAATTTTGCCTAAAGAGAGAAAAATCTTATTTTTAACCAACTTTCGAAACTTCGACAGCAAGGAAAAAGATGTGGAACAAGGCGTATGAAGAATGGAATGAAAACTAGGCCATGAGGCGAATCTAACGACGCAAAAATGAGGCAAAACATAGTTACAACGAGGGAGATACAAGTGTTTGAATGTATGGGTTTGAATCTAAATTCTGCATAGATTTCCGTTAGTTTAATATGACGGAGAAGGACGGAGGGGTCAGATTGAAACACGGATGAAACTCTAGGATTTAATTTGTCAAAATTGAAATTCTAGGGTTTAAATTGAAAAACACGCGAAACCTTGAAATTTTTTTTTAATTAACCCAATTTTTAATTATTTTAGTTTTAATTTTAAAATTTTAAAATAATGCCAATTCTAATAATTAATATTAGCACCACCACCACTTGATATGTTTTAATTATTGACACTTAAGTCAGATGTACACTTAAT